TAATATAACCTTGAGTTGTATTAATAGACATACTTTAGCTATATAAAGGAGATAAATGTTCCTCTGTTCTCTACAACCTAAATGCAAAGGTACTGGTGATGTTTAGCCTGAAGAAAGAAGGTAGATTGATTGCTATCTTTAAATATTTAAAGGGGTGTCCTGTAGAAGCAGCCCTCAGAAGTTTGACATACAATGGGTAAAATAAATGAGGAGATAAATTTGGATCTTCTTCCTAAGAGTGAAAATATCCATGGGAAGGAATAAGGTCTCTATTACCAGACTGGACCAGTTTTATACATGCTGTAGGTTGGATTCAAGTTCTGGAGAAGTGACTGGAGTGAATGAGACAGTTCAAAATATCTACTTCATTCACTAGGAGGTCATTGTGTAAAGCTGGTGGTGGATTGGACAGAGTGGGGATTAGTGAAGGGAAGTTGCTCCATACTGAAAAAGCATGAAGCAAAACTCCTGCTGTCTCTCATTAAAGTTTTACTAAAGATGAATTGCACTTCCACATTCATTAGGAACAAAGCCTAATAGAAATACAGAGAAAATTCTCTTTCCATTTTATGTTTTGTAAAAACTTCAAAATGTTTCTTCTTTCTAAACCCGATCTTCAAAATCTCTTTTCTAAACTGCACAATGTAGACTTGTTAGGCATTTTCCAGGAGTAATTTTTCAACTGTAATAAGTGAAGCCCAACAACAAACTGTAGAATAAGTCTGCTATTTGGAGTTAAAATTTGCTGTTCTAAATTTATTTTTGTTTTAGTTTCTTTTGTGTTCCCAAGATATCAAGTAAAATAAACCTATCTGTCGGCACACATGGGTTTCCTTACATCAGTGTCAAAATGATGGTTTCAGTCTGAGTATTTTAGTTCTCAACATCAGTGACAAGCATTTGGCCAACATTCCTTTGGGATTTACCTGTGCTGATTTTGTATCAACATTCCATAGACATGCTCATTCTCTCTGGCTCCAAGGGACTTCCTGGTCTCTAGTATGCATTTAATTTCTATTCCCACCACTTCTTCATGGCATTTCTTCAAGGCAGTAAATACATCTAGAAGTCTTGCTGGTCAGATCTCTTATAGCTTCATTTGCCTGCGTTTCCTTTCTCTTGAGCTTATAGCTCTCAAATTTAGAATGCTTCAAAATTACCTGTATAGCTAGTTAAAAAATATGGAGCCCAAGATCTCATCCTCAGGTGTTCTCATTTAATAGCTGCCTTGAGACGAGTATGACCTTTCTAACAAATTCCACTTACCCTATAAAGGTGTTCTTTTTTTTTTTTAATTTTTTTAATACAGAAGGTCAATAGATTACACATTGAGAAATAGTCTCCCAAGGATTCTAAATGGAAATGAAGCAATGTACTATGTGGTATTTTTCTCATCAGGCCTGAGAAAATTTGTCAATGATCTACATTTTAACAATGACTGGTTAAAACATGTCTCCCTCACCCACAAAGAGACAGCAGTAAATGTAGTTTCAAGCATATCTCCTATTTAAATGGTGATCTGCATGGAGCTTGTTAGAAATACCTCACCCCACACCCACTGAATCAGAACCTGCACTCCAATAGGATATCCAGGTGACTTATATCAACACTAAGATTTGAGAAGCAACTGTGCTACAGAACATGAAAAAATGACAAGCAACATACACAGGCCATCATACCAGGATTAGATTCAGCTTCAAATACCAGACACTCAAAACTAACAGTAGCTTAAACAAGAAAGCTTATTTCTCTCACACATAAAAGCCCACCTGTAGGTGTATTAGGGCAGATACTATAACTTCCTTCTCTGTGGTCCTCAGGGATCCAGGTTCCGCCTTGACCAAGATATTGTGTTTTGTCATGCAAAAGGCACACTGCACAACTCTAATATTCAAAACTGATTTGTTAATTTATTATGACAGTTTTCCTGCATCTGGCAATAAAGGACTTACAGAATGGATGCTGTTTTCTAAATCACAAAAACTTGCTTTTATGGGTTGATGGCAGAACAGTCTAGTTTCTGCTTATTATCCATTCATCCTACTGCTAGGTTAGATTTCCAGAAGTCACACTCACTTTTCAAGCAGAATCCTAGACGAAGGGGCAAGAAGTATGCACCAGTTATCTAGTCCTGCTAAATTTACCTGGTGCTGCTAAAATCTTAGCATACATCCCGTTGATCAGACCTGGTACCAGAGATACACATAGTTGCAAAGGAAGCTGGAAAATGTAGCCTTTATTTTGGGCAGCCATATGTCCAGCTCAAAAGTCTATTATGATGAAAAACAGGAATAACACTATGGTAAACAACTAGGAATCATATATTTGGGAACAAAGCCAAGTAATTATGAGATTTCTACAGCAAAATAATCTGCCTTTTCAGAACCTGTTCCACTCAACCAGACAGTTCTACTTCAAAGTTGAGTCTCTCTAAACCGCCACATTTGCTATAATCAACCTCATAGCAACATTTGACTATGTCTCAATTTTCTTTCCTTTGTCTTGGAGAGGCAGTGATAGGAAAGTGGTTAGGAGTGAGGCTAGAGAAAAGAGCAGAAAAATGCAGGTACCTGTACTGAGGTATAGAGGAGACAATGTTCAAAAGAAAGTAGAAGTTGTCATCAAAGAAAAACTAACAAACAAGGTGACCTAATACTGACTCTTAGGGAGTTAAGCCAAAGTATCTTCAATCCTTTGTGTTCAAAGCAAGGATTGTCCTAAAGGCAGGAGAGGTTGAATATACTGAAGTGGAGGAGTCACCACTCTGGGGAGCAAGGTTAGCTCCAAAATTTGTGGAACCCAGTGCAAAATAAAGATGCAGGGTCCCTTGTTCAAAAAGAAGAAAGTGTAAAGTTACTAAAATATAAAGCTATTTCCTTTAAAAATATATTATTTATAAACATAATAAGGATATAGTAATAGATAAGTAACAACATTAACATACAAATGATACAAAAATTATATTTTGGTACATAATTTTATAATACTATTTTATTAATGTAATATCTTGATTGATTACAAGATTTGCTGGATCATTTTTCTGCAAACTTATTTATCAGGTCATCAGAATACTTTAATTGATACAATTTAAAGCCACATGAAGTGTTCCTGGCAAATAAAAGATGACAAATCACTTTTTCAATATTTAATTGTGAGAAGGATCTCTCAGCTCACACAACTGTTATTAGAGCTATTAAGAGTATTTCATAGACTGTGTCAAAATTGGGATAAAAAATTGTTTTGAAATGTAAAGGTTAGTACACCTAGAGCCAATAGTTCTTGCAGAAGAAAATCTTTAAAAGATTTAATTTCAGGGCTTCCCCGGTGGCTCAGTGGCAAAGAATCCGCCTGCCAGAGCAGGAGACAGAGGTTCAGTCCCTGGTCCGAGATGACCCAACACACCGCAGAGTAACTAAGCCCAGGCACCATGAATATTGAGCCTGTTCTTTAGCCTGGAAGTCACCCGGGAGCCCGCGCTCCACAACAAAAGCAGCCACCCCAATGAGAAGCCCGAGCGCCACAACCAGAGAGCAGCCTGAGCGGCAACAAAGACCCAGCACAGCCAAAAATAAATACACTTTAAAAAAAAAAAATGAAGTATCTTCTAAATATGATCATTTTAGCCTGAACCATTCCGTCCCTCACCTCCTTCTCTCTATCACCAATCCAGGGGACAAATACAGACATGTGTAACGCTTAGAGGTGTTTGAATAAATTCATATCAACAATCATTTACAAAAAACAAGCATTCCTATAAATTTCAACACAAAGTGTACAAAATGTGCTAATTTTACTACTTGGTCATACACTGGTAACCTCTTTAACATCTAGAGACTAGAGGTCGCAAAATTAGGACTCATTTGTCCATGATATACACTAGATACACAGCAAAACAAAATGCACATAACATACAAAAAATGGTTTCATCTGAAAATGCCCAGGTACAAACAACTTGCGTATTACCTTTTGTAATTCTTACCCTCCCACCTCCTTCAAACCACTGAACAAGTGAAGACAACAGTATGCTGCTCACAGAGCTGGTTTAACATTTAAAATTCCCAAAGACAGTACTTCCTATGAATTTGAGCAAAAAGATATATATACATAAGTGATATTTTACTACCTCTACATCTAACATATGTGGGGCACTTCTAAACATCTAGGTGGATTAGGTGTTTTAAATAAGGACTTATTTTGTCCACTACATACACAGCAGTCTTGAACTGCCACATGTAACGGTTATAATCTGAAACTGTCTTCAAAATGTGAGTTTTGTAGCCTAAGACCCTTCCCTTCTCTCCCCTCTCCACCATACCCAGGGGGCTATAATGCTCAAATTTTCAGAAGACAATCTTTCCTAGAAACTTTTAACACAAAATGTACAAAATGTATTGTTTACTAATTCTATTTTTGTCATACACTGGCAACCGCTTTAACATCTAGAAAGACTAGATGTTGTAAATTAGGATTCATTTGTCCATTATATACACTATATATACAGCAAAGTGGAACAAAATGCACAAACAGAAAAGACAACGGTTAACCTTGCCTCACCATAAAAACACTGGCACAGAGGTCTGCATTTCCCTCTCCTCTCCACCACCACCGGGGACCCCCAACCGGTGCACAAAACACGTGGTTTGGCCAATCCCCCGCCCCCCAACATTTCATATTAGTTTTAACAAAAAGGTATTTACAAAATGTCTTTTTACTATCTCGACTTTTAACATATATCAGGCACTTCAGAACATCTAGAAAGATATTTCAAAAAAGTACTTATTGTCAACTATATATACAGTAGTGAGGAATGAAATGCACACACAAAACAACGGTTATATGAAAACGTCTTCTGCGTATGACCAGTCTGTCATAGAACTTTCTCTTCTTCCTCCTCAAAGTCTTCCATTCCATGTCCTAAAACCCACTGAACAAACGGGGGACCTCGGTGGCTCCGGAAGTTGCTTCTAGAGGTAATCAAACAACTCCATTTCGTTTCTTTTCTATAGTTTTTGTTTTGTTTTGTTTAACAAATGGGTATTTACAAGACATGTGATTTTTCTAACTATTTTATCATACGTCGGCAACCGCTTTACATGTAGGAGGCCTAGATGCAACGAAAGTTTTCTTTTGAAAGGCTGGGGTGGCGGCGGGAGCTGGGAGCAGCTTTTCCGTATTGTGTGCACAGGCCTTCTGTCGGCGGCCGGTAAATCCTGCCGCTGGGCCATGGGCACCTTCTGCTGGCCGCAGGGGAACCTTACTCTGCCGCTTCCGTCTTCTGACATCACGGTCACGGTCCGATGGCCCGCTAACGCTCCGCTTGTCATGGACCGCGGCTCCGCTCACCTCGCGGGCCCGCTAAGGCCGTTGTCCCTCACTGTCCGGACGAGGTGAAGCCTCGCCCAACCGGGACGCGGCGGTCACCTCAGGCCGCGGATCCGCGCGGCCCCAAGGCCTAAGGGTGGGCGCGCCGGCGTCACAATCTTTCCCAGGCCCGGGGTCTAACGGGCCTCCGCGGAGTCGGAGCGGCCGCCATTCTTCCAGTCCCGCCACGCCCGACGCCCAGCGGCGCCACGTTCTCAGAGGCCGGGAGGAGGCTTCGCCTGAGCCCAAGCCCTGCCGCGCAGCGTGAAGAGGCCCAGCGGTCGGCAGGATCCCGGCTCCGAGGGCCCGCCGCCATTAGGTCGCGGCGCTGGGGGTGGGGCGGGGAGAGGTTCGCGGCCGCTTCGGGTCCTGGGCGGCCTTGGCGAGCGCGCAGCAGAGCACACCCCAGACTAGCCCGGGGCCGCGGTTCACCGACCGACCAGAGGCCGGAGGGCCTGCAGGGCCCCCGGGTAGAAGGCCGCGGTCCGCTTCTGGCCGCGCTCTCTGCCGTGCCTAAATAAACACACTTTTAAAAGATACATTTTTCAAAAAGGCAAACACAATAAAAAATAAAAAGAGATTTAATTCTTCATGCAAATCAGTTTTATGCATCTGTTTAATTAGAAACATAAATTAGTGCAATGGCATTTAAGTATTTCCTCTAAGAGTTCCGGAAATGGAGGTTGTACAAGAAACCAAAAGTGGTTTTGAATTTGCAAATAATTCAGAATACTTGCTTATAGACCCGATCATATTTTCAATTAAAAGGAAGTCAATCTTAGACTTGTCATCCTTATTAGTAGTTGGTTCATCTGATGCTACATATGAAAACAATGTTCTTTTCCATCCACTGGGGCAATCATTAAAATTAATTTGTATTTCTAAGCCTGTAGCTGTTTGCAGTGTTGTAGCAGCTTTTAAACCCATGGATTCCAAACTCTTTGAAAAAAATGATAGTAATTCCCTATTACGCTTTATTGCAAGGTGCATGTGTACACTTTTATTTTGTAAGTATTAGCAAAATGTACCTAAGTGCTGGCAGTTCTTGCATCAGCATTCCATCCAGAGGATTAATACTTATGCTAAAGTCCTAGGGATGAGCTCCTAAACCGGGTTCCGGCCCAGTCTCAGTACTGCAGCCTTCCCAAAGCTGCACTGCTGGCTGTCACCACCAATCTAGACCAGGTCCTAGTCTCAGTGGCCCACTCCAGGTTTCACATCATCCTGTACTGGCCCAGCAATGAGAGTGCACACAGAGCAACACTCAGTCTTTATGCCCCCGGGTACAACACAATGCTTTAAAATTTTTATACATTATATTTAACTTAAAGTTATTATAAAATATTGGCTATATTCCTTGTGCCATACAGTAAATTCTTACAGCTATTTATTCACTCCTGGGACAGTCTAGGATGCTGTGAGACCTGGAGTGGGCTGCTGGGGCCAGGACCTGGTCTAGATTGGTGATGGCAACCAGCTTATTTATTTTATACATAGAAGTTTGTACATTATTTTATACATAGAAGTTTTGTAAGTCACTTCCCTGGTGACTTAGATGGTAAAGAGTCAGCCTGCAATGCAGAAGACCCGGGTTCCATCCCTGGGTCAGGAAGATCCCCTGGAGAAGGGAATGGCAAACCACTCCAGTATTCTTGCTTGGAGAATCCCATGGACCAAGGAACGTGGTGGGCTATAGTCCATGGGTTCGCAAAGACCTGGACAAGACTGAGCAACTAACACTTTCACCATTCACTTTGGAAGTTTGTACACATTAATCTTCAAAACCTATCTTGTACCTTCCCACTGTCTCTGTACCCACTGGTAACCATTAGTTGGTTCTGTTTATCTATAAGTTTATTTCTGCTTTGTTATATTCATTTGTTTTATTTTTTAGATTCCACATACAAGTGATAACACACAGTATTTGTCTTTCTCTCACTTATTTCACTAAGCACAATATCCTCCAGGTCCATCTGTGTTTTTGAAAAGTTTTTTTTAGCTGAGTAATATTCGTGTGTGTATGTGTGTGTGTGTAAAAGGACCAATCTTCTCACCACTTTTTTGATGGACACCTAGGTTGCTTCCATGTCTTGGCAATTGTACATAATGCTGCTACAAACACTGGGGTGCATGTATCTTTTCAAGTTAGTGTTTTTGTTTTCTTTGGATCAATATCCAGTTGAATTGCTGGATCACATGGTAGTTCCACTTTTAGTTTTCTGAGGAACTTCCATACTCTTTCCCATAGTGGTTATGCCAATGTACATACCAACTGACAGTGTACCAGGGTTGCCTTTTCTCCACATTCTTGCTAGCATTTTTATTTGTGATCTTTTTGATGATAGCCATTCTTATAGGTGTGAGATAGTATCTCATTGTGATTTTTTATTTGCCTTTCTCTGATGATTCGCGATGTTGAACATTCATTTCTTTGCACAAGCCTAAAGCAACCTCCTGAGTTTTGAATCTTCCATTTTCATTTAACAAAAAAGGCAAACTTGTAAGTTATTGAGTGTACATTTACTTTTAATTTCTCCTTTTTTCTATTCATGTTATCAGGTTTAATGCTATTTATCCACACTTAATTTGTAATAAAGCAAATTGTTTCTGAAATGCTTTCCCAGATCACATGCACCTATATTAATGTATGTACACACTCTGTTTCAGTTCTCTATCACTGAACATTTTCCCCATGCTCTGAGTATTGTCTCCACAGGCTCTAAGCCAACAAGAATTGAGACACATACTGACATACTTTCCTGGTGGCTCAGTGGTAAAAGAATTCACTTCAGCAATGCAGAAGACATAGGTTCGATTTCTGGGTGGGAAAGATCTCTTGGAGAAGGAAATGGCAACCCACTCCAACATTCTTGCCTGGGAAGTCTTATGGACAGAGGAGTCTGGTGGGTTACAGTCCATGGGGTCCCAAGAGTTGGACCGACATGATTTAGCAACTAAACAACTGACATACTGAAAAAACCCTTACCGAGTCTGTTGCTTGCTTTCCTATAGCTAGTACATTCTGCATGGCTTCCTCTTTCTGCAGTCTTTATATCCACCAATTATTTTGGGTCTGGTCAAGATTTTAACTCTTATTGGCTCACAAAATGTTTGAAAGTGATAGAGTTGGTCTTCACCAAGGACAGCAAGGAAAGTATCATGTTGGATGCTGTATTTATACAAGTTGTAAGACAGCAGACGTTACCCTCAAAGAAATAGATGTGGAAACATAGGATGAAGCTAGGCAGACAATTCAGGGATTGGTGGAAATACAGAGACATTAAGAATGGCAATATAAACATCTCTGTGGTTTGGGATAATTGATCTGTCATTGTTGAAAAAAACACATCAAAGAAAACAGGCCCAGAAGCAGTCTTGACTTCAAGTCATTTTAAGAGAATGGAGAAAGTATTGTCAACATAAAATGCTAAGAACTCATAGTGTTGTGTTGTGCTACACAGCCTTATATGACATTGCAAGCAGTCCTATTTCCCAAAACACATCCTCCTTGCTAAACAGTATGTGCATACATCACACAGTAGTATATTTATATAAAGCACATTACTGTAAGAACTATTGCTATTTAATGTAATCTAATAGTAAAATAATCATACTCAGCAAACATGAGTTCATTATATTTAAGTTCATTTTCCATTTAAATTGTATTTTCAAAATTATCATAGAACTATAAAACAACAGTTGGCAACATCATTTTTTATCAAAATCAAGCACATACAATGTTAAGGCACTGGAGAGACATAAAGGTAGGTTATATTGTGTCAGGTCTCAAGGAGTTTAAAATCCAGTTTGAGGAAAAATATCAGTGAGCATTTAATGAGAAAAAAGTGTTGATAATACAATGGATGGCCAGGTGACTAGGAAAAGATATATACGGCAAGTGGAACTTGAGCTGGATGCTAGTAAGGATTGAACCTCATAAAAGGAGAGACTCGGGAAGGTCTCTGTGCAGAGTGTGAAGGCAGAAACATAAACAAAGTTCAGGTAGTTGAGTGAAGAGCCTGCAGTCACTGAAGGGTTCACACAGGGTAGTCGTGAGGATTACTATAGTCAGAGATTGCCTGGCTGCATATGACAGAAACTCAAACTAGTTGAACCAAAAAGAGGAAATCAGGATTGCAGGGTGTCTTACACAATTCAAGAACAGAAGTCTGGCAGAGAACCTGAGGACAACTGGAACCAAGGACTCTCGTCTGTGTTCTTTTCTTCTGGGCTCGTGTTTCATCTTCTAAGTGATAAGAAATGTGGTTGGCAGCACTCTCTTAGTACACATCTCACAGCCTCAGCGATGCAGAATGAGAGAGGGAGAATGGTCTTTGTTCCCGTCTCTAAAATTCCTGAGAAAGACATTGGCTGGCTAGGGTACGGGATCAGGAGATCTGGAAGCCTAACAATTAAGGTAAGGAAAGGAAGGTGGTTTAATAAAGTGTTTGAAAAGGAACATGGTTATACTATAAATATATACATGTTACATATAGAAATAGTATCCATAAACATAGGCATTCATGCCAAAACCCAAAAATACCACATTTTGTGTTCCTTAACTTGGAATTAGAAATGCTTAAAAACTCACATCAAAATGCTAGCCTAAGACAGGCTTGCTTCATCCCTGTTATTCTTTCCTAAAACACTTAATATCACCTGTAATTATTAGAATGAAATGCAATTGTCTTTAGGACTTACTGCTGCTTTGTATTCTGTGCCAGTGTTTCATCAAAGCCACATCCCATCCTCTTGCTTTTCTGTCTTTGTTTAAGTTAGGCAGCATATAGACTGTTTTACAAATTAAGCTGCTCTTTCCTTAAGGTGAAACCTTTTTATAATGATAATTGAGGGGAACTGAGCTAATCTCAAAATGTAGATTAACTATGTTATATCATGATTTTATGGTACATAGTATGTTTTGAGGTCTAAGAATTTACTAATTTCATATAATAAACTGTAT